GTCATCCAGTTGATCTAGTCGGAACTGGAATCTCTGGGACAGTTGAAAAACCATCTCAAGGAATATGCCACCAGAGCAACGCATCCTAGGACGTGACTTCGAGAGACTCGTTGGTTACCAGCAATACGTGTGAGTTTGTGGCATCCTAGGACGTGCCTTCGAGAGACTCGTTGGTTACCAGCATCATATGTGAGTTTGTGTTGCTTTGGGGCTGCCCATGTGCATTTTGCGCGGGCGGAGTTGTTCCCGCTTGCCCCACTCTGGTAGTGGGGATTTATTCCCTGAAAAACCGCTTTTGAAAGGGTTCTCTATTGCAATTCATGGCTGCTGGGTATGGATCGATTGTTGTCAACAAATGGGGGCAAAAGGGTGGCCCCACGCCCTTCTTCAGAACCAATCACACACTTGGATTGATAGACCTTACGGATTACTGGAATGGCCAAGGTGATGCGTCAGCCAACCTGCTACTAGGACCTGACTTGCGGCGGTCACCATCCACATCAACTCATGTGACAACTCTAGATCTGTGAGCCATGGTTTCGGCTCCTGTCATAGCTGTCTAAAGTCCTCATGTTAGGTTGGGACCATCCTCTCGTCCCAAGAAAATAAATGTTTCGGCGCCTTCGGCTAGAGACTGCAGGTGATTCCATGGGGGCCTGGGGGTGTCTCAGCCCAGCAGCCTCAAAGGGGCCAAAGATGTGGGCGGCGGTGGGGATGGAGTCCCCCTTCCTTGGGCCATCGCCGGCGAGTTGATATCCCGAACACCAGAGAGACTCCTTTAGACAAGGTGGTTTGGGCGGCCCATATTAATCTGCAAAGGGGTAGGCACGACTCTCTTTGAACTGCGGTCCTCTCCAAGTCGACAAATGAAAACAACAAGTGAGTCTCCGAGTTCCCTTCACAAGTTGCTTCGACCGTGTCCACTCGCCGCCTGCCTTTCTGTTCCATGCAACATGAAGTCAACAATGTCGCGCACGTCCAGCTCTAGATGCGCGCGGTGCCGCAAAACGGACAAGTATGGGCCAGGCCCTAGACAACTGCCCTCCCACTGAAGTTGAGGCCCTTCTTCGATGCTGACCACATCTCACACAAGTTGCCCCAATTTACAAACTGAAATCTAAACCAAACACTCAAAATGCGTGGCTTAGATTAGCCACAAACAATGGTTGCAACATTGAAATGGCTGGGTCCCATTGGTTTCCAACCCGATAAGGGTGCCCTCTCAAAAGTACACTCCCATATCAAACATGCCACCTCAGCCCAAAGAAAAGGTGCCGCAAATGAACGACAAGAGAAGTTGGGCAAAGACTCATCACCTCCTGATGGTTGAAGGAATCCTCCACTCCAGCAACCGTGGAGCAGCCCACATCTCCGAGCCTTAGAGCTGGCGTCTAATGTGAGCAAAGGTCATGTCCTCTTAATACACATCCCTACGGTTTGTCTGAAACATGAGGGTTTACCATCCTCCATTTGAAGGTGCCACAAAACTCATTTCACTGGTTGTGGCTAGTCGCCTTTTAGCCAACACATTGATACAGGAAATGTCAAAGCAAAAGGAAGCCGTCTTGCAAAAGTAAAAGGTGTTTGGAACGTGACACATGTCTGCCAGGGAAATTGGACTTCGTTTCCTGGAACAGAAGAAACGCCGGCGGTCACTCCCTGGCTTTGGATTTGTTTCGGCAGCTGAAAACGACGGCCTCACCAATGGACCTCTGGAAGTGGCAATTCACAATCTCTTCCGGAGAAGTTGCACCCTGGACATAAAACGGACAAACAAAGAAAATCAACATCCATCCCCTTTCGTCTTCCTGAAACATGTTGCAGACTTGTTTGGGCTAGCGGCGATTTAGTCAATTTGGCGAGAGATCCAACTCTCGTCGGCGCACTCTTCAAGGGGCCCCAAGAACTATACCCCTTCGTCATTGAGGACCCTCCGGACCCGGCAGCCAAGCTGCAGGGGCGCGGCGCAGGGTGGACTGCTGCAGCTGGGGTTGTTGCAGCTGCCGTCACCGCTGCCCTGGGCAAGCAAGCAAGGAAGCAAGGAAGCAAGGAAACAAGGAAGCAAGGAAACAAGGAAGCAAGGAAACAAACAAGCCAGCCAGCCAGCCAGCCAGCCAGCCAGCCAGCCAGCAAGCAAGCAAGCAAGCAAGCAGCAAGCATCAAGCACAAACAAAGACAACAAAGACACAGAAACGCGAACAGCCAAGACGATGTAGCAGCTCAGAACAAAAAGGACAACACCTTGCAAACGACGACCAAATCCTTCCGTCAAAGGCGCCGGACCGCAGCCCTCCGGCGGCGGGGCGATGCCCACGCCCCAAGTGGTACCCTGCCCGGAACAGTCCTGGGCCTTCACAGCCTGGCGGAATGGGACGTCGGCAAGTGACTCGAACAGTAGACTCGCTGGAAATCTCCGTTTTGCTTGCTTGCTCGAGCGGGTGAATGGTCGGTCAGCCCTCGTTGGCTCCCTTAAACCCAGCCAGTAGAAAAGAAATGGAACCAGCTTGAGAAGCCACAAGGGCTGCCACTGAATTGGGTCGGATCCGTTTGATTTTTGATTGAAAACATGGGGTGTTTTATGGAAACAAAATACCAATGTTTGACCATCCTTGTCTAAACCCCCCAGCAAAAACGGCGACGTGCTTTTGGTAGAGCTTGAACTAGGCAGTAAGCTGATGCAAAAACAATTTGTGTTGTATGGCTTCCATTAGCTTTCCAGGGGCCACATCCAAGTTTGAACACATTTTGACCCAACCTTTTCGGGGGTGCTCTTAAGGGAAAGCAGGGGAACCCGTGCGGAGAGCGCAAGATGTGGCCATTCCAAGCGGCGGAAAGTCCCCAACAAGGAAAGATGGCTTTGGGGTTCCGCGTTCAGTAGCTGCACCTGTCCCATTCTGTTCAGCTATGTTCCTTTTCAGCGAAGGGCTGAAACAAATCCGGCCTAAGTGAACGGGGCTTGAAAAGAACAAGCGAAACAAACCGGAGATAACAAAGCTTTAACATAATGCTAGTCATATGTATGTTAGTACCTGAAATGCTTTTTCTCTGAAGGTATTGGGACATTGACGCATTAACAGATATTGCTCCTATTCAAGAAACATAGCTTGTGCTAGCACCAGTCATGTTGTTGCCTTCTCCTGGCGCGCCTGGAGCAGGAGCAGGGCAAGCAGCTTCTTCGCCATGGGTTCTTGATAAGAGGTCGCAAAGGTGCGGGCGAACGGAGCTGCAAGGGCTGCGAAAGGCAGACCAAAGAGTACGGTGGATTCTGCGTCCCCGATTATTGCAAGCAAACAGAACCCTACTTTGGACCAACCCCAAACCTGGAAAATGACTAGATTGTCCTGCTTCCCGAATGTTTAAAAGCACATTTTGCCCTGATCAAGGTTCCGAGTTCCCTCTGCTTGGAAAGGTCAGTGGTCTTGCACAAGTTCCACGGAATCCCAAGGGGTGCGTGCATTTCTACATGACCCTGTCTGGGTGTCCGGGATGGCTTCCCCGGTCCCCAGGCTTCATGGCAATCCCGTTTTGTCTCCAGGGCTCAACTTGGCAGACATGCGAGCCTCCCGAGAAACGGACTGCCAGCGACAGCCAAACGCCCAAAACCAAGGATCTACAAAGGCCCCTGGCAGTTCTGGTTGGGTCCCGATGCGCCCCAACAACCTCCGCTGACTTGGTCTCGGTTGCGGCAGGTCCCCGAAATAACCTCCATGTTCTTCAAATGTGCTTCTCACAATTTCGTGAGTGATGTGCTGCACTTCCCAGCAACCTTGCCCATCGCTGCAAATCAACCCCTCTGTGCCTCTTTTGCCTCGCGAGCATCTTCGTCTCTTCCTCTTGGCGCTGCGTGTGCAGACCAGAGTGTCACAGGGCGGCCGGTGCTGTTTGAAAGAGGGTCAGCTCTCCTTGAGAGACGGAGCAACAGCAATTCAGCCCAAGCAAGGTCGTTAAACCCTCCACGAGACAAGCATGGAATTGGGCAGGGCCGTGAACAAGAGTCATCCACACCCTTCCTGCCTCGCATGCGCGTTGGAAAAGGAGGGTGGTCAGAACCCGCAGTGGCGGCATCACTTCACGCCGCTTTGGGATCAAAGGGCACTTTGAGAAATCTTGGTCGAACCTGGGGCGCTTCAAATAAGACGCCCTTGGCGACACGATGTTGGAACCAGTCGCCCGGAAATCAAGCGATAGACGTTGCCCCTCGCAAAGGTCTCGGCTTCACGAGGAGAATCAAAAAGGAGTGCAGGGGCTCCGAAGTCCCAATTGGTGATTCCTCCCCGAGCTCCCAAAATGGCTATGTAATGGTTGGAGAGCCTGAATACGCGCATACATATTTCTATGGCATATACGTGTATACACACACCAGGCATTGAAGGATGGTCGTAAGTGGCACCGAGCCCGGGGATCGTGTTTCAGGTTGTTACCAAAGTTTGCCCCCCACAGGGTCACGAAAGAATCTCAACACACTAAAAGGAAGCTGGCTTGAACCTGGCCACCACAAGTGATGCTTAAATGAAAGCGGACAATGGCTTTCCGGTTTCCCTTTAGCTTGGTCCTGCAGTCGACACTCGCAATCAACACCGCTGCCAGGTATGGGTTTGGGAGGTATGGGGGCTTGTAGACCACCAATGTGTTTCGCCTTAGCAGAACATTCGGGTGAGGGTTCTTTTGAAGGCAGCCTTTCCTTGTCTGTTTAAAGGGAAACTCAAAGCCACCAGTTTGGAGCACCCCCGATTTTGACACATGCCCAGTCCCTTAAAAAGAGGGGCACCTTTCGCAGCACTTTGCTTTGGAGGCAAGCGTGGGCAAATGAGAAACCGTTGAATCCATCTAGTTTCAACCAAACTGCCTGAAAAGGACACCTATGAGTGCAATGATTAAGGTGGTAAATAGGCTGGCAGAGCTTGAACAAACATCTTACCATGGTAGTCTCCTTGCCAGTGTCCAGTCATGACTGTCAAGCACCAAGGATATGAGTCTCTTCTTGCTGATGGTATCGCTATTTTAAGTTTTAACAGGTTCTTGAAAGCTACCAGTGACTGTGGCTCAGAGAGGAACGCAGAGTCTGGCTCATCTCACTGCTTTGGATTGTCCATGGGAAACCTCAGACAAGCGCTATTGCGTGGCTTCATGGAAACGAGTGGAATGTGTTTTTTGGATTCCACCTGTGTTCCTTTCCGGTTGATCGCTTTCGAAACTCCTGTAGCACTGTTTGATCCGCAAAAGCCGCACCCGAACCGTTTAGTTGAGCAGCTTGAGCGGAGGTGTTGCGTTGGCGCGCATTGACCCCGGAAAGGAACCCTCCGCCGCCTTGAACTAAAACCAAAGTACTAAGGCAGTCTCAGTCACTGACCGTGGCTACTCACGAAAGTTCATCGCGACGCTGCCTCACACGCTGTCCCGTCCGAAATCCAGGCGATTTGTCAGCCGTCTCACTCTAAAACCTCTCAGCCAAGATCAAACCCTTGTGGTTGGCCCCTGGGCTGAACTGCATTCTCCTTGCGAAACGCGTGACTGGCAAAGAGCCCCCTAAAGCGGTGCTGTTTGACACTTTGCTCAGCCAAAGGCTATTGGACCACCCGCCAGCTCACCCGCCATTTCCCCCATCAATCACGGCCACGTAGCGCTTCAGCGTACCAGGAGGGTGAAGACGGCTGCCGTGAGGCTAAAAAGCTTCGACATTCGCGCGGTGCTGGCGCTGGAGATGGCGGTCCACGTGGTGGTGGTGGTCGGGCCTTGTCCGGCGGTGGTGCTGGTGCTGGCAACTGTACTGGTTGTGCTGACGCCCGTGCCTGTCGCAGCGGTGCTGGTGCTGGTGGTGCTGGCGGAACTGCTTCCGCTGCCTGGGGTCAACAAAGAGAAAAAAGACCGCCGGGGGAAGGTTGGACACTGGGCTTGGCTTTCAGAGTGGAAAGGTTTGGGGGCTGGGAGCCATCTAACAAGGACTCTGACTTGAAACCCAAGGTTTCCCCATCTTGGTAATAGAGCAGGGATATTATTTCTTGACAGCTCCTTGCTTGCAAAATTTGCCAAACCAACCGTAAGCAGGACCTTATGGTTGGTTGCAGGCAGGTGGGGTCCACCTTGTCTAGTCTTCCCTACAAAGGCAAAAATGGAACAACGCAACTGGAATTCTAGATTCCCCCGCACGCACGCACGCACGCACGCACGCACGCACGCACGCACACACACGCACGCACGCACGCACGCACGCACACACACACACACACACACACACACACACACACACACACACACACACACACACACACACACACACACACACACACACACACACACACACACACACACACACACACACACACACACACACACACACACACACACACACACACCCACACACAACACACACACACACACACACACACACACACACACACACACACACACACACACACACACACACACACACACACACACACACACACACACACACACACACACACACACACACGCACACGCACACGCACACGCACACGCACACGCACACGCACACGCACACGCACACGCACACGCACACGCACACGCACACGCACACGCACACTCACACGCACACACACACACACACACACACACACACACACACACACACACACCACACGCGCACCGCGCGCACGCGCACGCGCACGCGCACGCGCACACGCACACGCACGCACACGCACACGCACACGCACGCGCACGCACACGCGCACGCGCACGCACACGCGCACGCGCAAGCGCACGCGCACGCGCACGCGCACGCGCACGCGCACGCGCACGCGCACGCGCACGCGCACGCGCACGCGCACGCGCACACACGCACCCACGCACGCACCCACGCACACACGCACACACGCACACACGCACACGCGCACACGCGCACACGCGCACACGGGCACACGCGCACACGGGCACACGCGCACACGGGCACACGCGCACACACACACACACACACCTTCCAAGCAAAAACCGGCTCAGGCAACACTGCCCAGCAACATCCTGCAAACAACTCCTGGCAACCAGCCCAAAACCCAACCCCTGTGGCCTGAAATGAGGCATGACACTTGGAAGCATGGAGGGTTTATATGCAAAAAAAAAGCAAGCAGCTTGATGGAGGCACCTTTAGGCTCCAATTTTTTGGGGGGCTGCATCTCCCATTTGGAGCCTCCCGAACTCCGGTCGCTCCCCCAACCCGACTTGCCTGCGGTGTAGGAGATAGCGGAGGTGCTGAGCGCAGGCAGCTCCACGATGTTGGTGCCCATATTGGACCCCGCGCCGTCCCAGCACGGGCAAAATTTGTCGTAGGTCACAGTGCCTGCTAAGACACGGGTGCAAGGGGAGGGTCAATTCGAGTCAACTTGACCTTAAGACCCAAATGATTTGCACTGTGAATATTGTGGGAAGGAAATTGACCAAGCCACTTTGGGACCCGAACGACCAGTTGGCCTTGGGACGGGCGAATGGTGGGGGAGACCGGGGTAAAACGACACTCTTGGGTGCGAAAAGCGCTGACCTTGTGGCGTGCCCTCTTTTGTGTTCTTCGCTCGATGTTCCTGTGCAAGAGATGAATCTGCGCAGTGAGGCAATCATTCCGCCTGCAAAAAGGAATTCCAACTTGCCCACAGAACGTGGCGACCAACCACGTTCAGCCCCCTTTTCAACTCCACACCCCCAGACCGTGGTATCCATTTCGCCCAGCTGCCCATCTCCGCATCTCCCCTTCGCTTAGCTGGGAATATGCCGAAATCGCGAAATTTGGACCGGGACCCAAACTGGAAAGGCTGGTGTTCCTTTAGTTTCCCTTTGAGCCAACCTAAAAAGGGTACCGAGCCTCAAAAAAAACAAGAGTGTCCTGTTGCGGTTGGCTTAAAGGGAAACCAAAAGGAGATCAACCAGCTTCAATTGGGGACTCTTCAATTCGCGGACACCATTTAGGTGGGGATTCAAGTCCACCAACCATTCTTGACATGCTTCCCCATTCGGAAAACCCCTCGCCTGCGTGGGTCTCGATGGCGGTGCCAGCGCCCCCGTCGTTGTCGCACTTGGGGTACAGAGCCCGGCACTCCGCCACCGACACCAGGCCGTTGGAGGCAGAGGGCCCGTAGCAGCCCACCGTGAACGGCGCCTGTCAGAACTGGGCTGGTGGCTCGTCCAAATGGTCCAAGGGACGATTCGGAAGACCAGAAGTCAAGCGACCCAGGGAGCCCCTTTCTCTGGCTTTGCGGGAGGGTGTTTCTTCCGCGAAATGGTTGGTGGAAACGAATGCGCATGTGCACCAATTGTCATACCCAACTGAAAATGGCGATGGCAATGAAATTTAATGGGAAGCAAAGTGAAGGCGCCAGTCAGACAAGTTGCTGGCTCGGCAGCAAGGAATGAGATTGATTGAAAGGTCTCAAACAAATACGAGTACTTTGGGGTCGGTGTCCCTGCGACTCACCACTTGCAAAGAAACGTTGACGTCACAAAACTTGGATTCAGACATCAGCCGCATGTTTTCTGCTTTTCGCAGGCGCAGAACCGAAAATGCCGCCTGGTCTTGCACGTGGTAGTGGTACACGTTGCTCGAGCTCTCGGGCGTGGGCCCGAAGTGAGCGCCGCAGGCGTCCAGCAGCGGCAGCTGGTTGTTGGCGTAGTCCTGCGCTTTTGGGCGTGTTGCTGGAGGGGGGAGGTTTGAGGCCAAAACAGCTAGATCTTGCATTTTGCAGTTTGGCGCCCAAACAGCCAGACCAACTTTGACAATCGAAGTCCACTGTTTCGCTGGAAACTGTGGCTTGGGGGTCTGAGGGCTTGATGCCAATGCTAGAGCAACTTGCAAACTGAATGTCACCATCTTCGGAAGCCTTGCTTTGGTCCAAAACCACCTTCCCGCTCTGACCTTTTTGAACTCGAAATCCCGCTGTTTGCTCCAAATACGACTGATCAACGGTGCCGTTTGCCAACATTCTCATGGAGGAGAAACACCTGCTTACCCACTCCAGTGGTACAAACCTAAGCAAACACTTTAGCATCACTCCGGCAAAATCCCTGGTTAGCTTTCACCAGTGAGTCAAAGCGAGGTTTCTGCATCACCAAGTAAGCGTAGTCCCAAAGTGGCAAGCCATGCTAATTCGAGGAACTTCGAGCAGAATCAAACAACCTACTTGTGTAAATTGCCCATCCACTTTAAACCTAGTACTTGTTTGAGATATGCTATGCAATGGTGTACTGTCCAGGTCACCAGCAACAAAATGGCAGCTGAAAATCCATCTTAGGGAGACTTTGCCGATTCCGTCAAGTAGTTGTTGCCTGGTATCTGTGAGTGCGTCCTCACAACCCGCCTATTGCAACATACAACTAGACCTGTTCCCATCCATTCATTCCGTGATCGCTAAGTCTGTCGGATCCGAAGTTGGTTTCTCCTCCCATTTGCCGTAGAGGTTGTATCCAGCAACCTGGGTTGCGCACGACTCGGGGTGTAAGGGAGCGAGGGCTGGGTATGAGATATCCCGGAGCACGGCAACCTTTCAAAGACCCATCTTGGGCACTACCGTATCCCGCCCACATTTGGACTGCACCATAGTTGAGACAAACCACAAGGCAGCATGGGTGTAACATGCTCTGATCCTGAAGGGAGTTCAGGGCGTGCGACAAATGTCCCCACATTGCGGCATGAAGCAGAACTTTTGCGCAAAGGGATCCAAGACGAAAGCAACCTTTAGAGGTGAAAACACCCGATCTCCAATTCGAGCAGATCCACTACAACAGGCAGCCCGGCAGTCAGTTGCCCTCTCCTTGCTGAAGCCAGCGTTGGCCGCCAAATGCTTGAAGGGAAACCCTTGACAGAGGCTGTTTCCGCACGCCAAAACCTGTCTTTTAAGCCGCAAGTAGGTCGTTCAAGCAGGGTGTTTGGTCCCCAAAGAGCAAGCACCCAGCTTGCCAAGCTTCAACGCCCACCTTGGTGGAGTGGCTGCCGCTCTCCTGGTGCCCAGGTGCTGCAACGCCGGGGGGGGGGGGCTCTCAAAACGGTTGGCATTTCCTTTCGATGTCTTTTCCACCAGCCAGAAACAGTCGCCTCCTGTTGGAAAGACTCCCTCCTACCAGGGGAAATGAGAATGAGCCGGTCGCCTTTCTGCTTCCCGAGGAACTGGGGAATCCTTCTTCCCGACAAACTGGGACCATTGTGTGAGGGTTCTTTAATCAGACTATCATTCAAAGACCTCAAGCAGATTGTCCCCCCTTTGCGAGGGGGGGGTCACCTCCTTCTCCTCCGGTGCTCCAATCATCTTATGAGGTGTGGCTTGAACACCTCTCCCGGATCCCAGCTTTCGGTCTGCAGCACGCCTGGTACAAGCACCCGAAGCCCCGGTGGAAGTGGTAGTCCCCCGTGTGACCCCCGCAGGGCCCTACGATGCCGTAGTAGGTCTCCCCCACGATGCGGGGAAGCCTCGACTCGAACGGACCGGGACTCCTCCGTTTGGAGCGGTGTTAGACGATAGTCTTCCAGACCACCATGTGTCGGCGGGGGCAGGGGGTCGTCGCAGTCCTCGTTATTTCCTTTCATCATGGGATGTAACAAAATGAGAACGGCGAGCAACGGCTGCAAATGTAACCCAAGTGGCAACTCGGGTGAGAAAAGAAACAACCAGCGAACAGGGACCAAAGAGATACATCTCTCTCTCTATCTCTGCGTGTCTGTCACATATCATGGCACATTCCAAGCAGCCAACCTTCAGAATTGATTCATGAGGGACATGGATCAACACCCATTGGTTGAGCGATCCCCCCGTTTTCGTCCAAACTTGTGATTTCTCACAAAGTACGTTCAAAAAGCATGGATGTGTCTGACAAATGGGGGACTCCATGTTTGGATCGTCGTCAAGAAAAACCATGGTGACGGCCACACAAGGCCGGGGTTCCCTATTTTGGGAAACACCCGTGTCAAGTCCTGAAAGTGTTTGGACGTAAGCCATCCGTAAGCATATTTTCCCCTGTAGCTACATTTGCACCTCTTCATGGCTGTATCTGAAAAGGAGAGACATACATGTGTGCATGCTGATCAAAAATGTATCGATGCAGGAAGCAACGAGCCATCATCCAATGCAATGATATGTGTTTCTGTTGCTTTCAACGCGAAGTCGCAGGAACCCATAGCTACGTGACTCTTGCTGCTGCCCTGATGCTGGATGCTGCAGGCTTTGGCGACTGACGCCTCGGCAATGTTGAGGTCCTCAGGCGTCGTGCATCAAGTACAGGCATCGTGCATCGTGCATCATCTTTAGATTGGGGGAACCCAAATTCCTTGCCTTCCATTTGCTTTGTCTTTAAAATAATCCCAAAACTGGTTCCCTCCAAAAAAAGAAACTACCCAGACCCAAAAAGAAGACATCCGAGCCGCCACACCTTCAGCCTCTTTGCGTCAAACACACACACACACACAGGCACAGAGAGAGAGAGAGAGAGAGAGAGCGCGCGCGCGCGTGCGTGCGTGCGTATGTACTGTATCTGATTGTGTTTGGTTTGGGGCTTGTGTGGTCTCTAGCTTGTTTGCATTCGTGCTTGCTTGCTTTGCTTTCTGGCTTGCGTGCTTGCTTCCTTGCTTGCTCCATTGCTTTCTTGTTTGCCCACGCAGGCTGAAATTGGAACAAATCACAGAACAAGGCGAAACCAATACGATCACGACAACATATGCGCCATGCTCAAACTCCTAGTATGGGGCATGGTCCTTGGTTCCCTCAATAGAGACCTTTAAATTGGTCCATATTAGCTTTCTAAAGCCTATTGCGATGATCACTTCTAGGGACCCCAAGCAAAGAAACCACAAACCTCCCTGGCGCGCCTTGCCGCCCTCGGAGTCGTAAACCACCGAGGCGTCGCTGCAGCCCCAGCTCTCGATGATGCCCTTCTGCTGCTCCCCGAAGCCTGCCTCGGCTTCATCGAAAGGAGCTAAGTCCTGACTTTGAAGGGGATTTCGGCAAGTGCTATAGTAATTACCAAAAGCTGAATTACAGGATCCCCCAAATAAAGGACCTTCATGGTGAGCTCATGACAAGGGTGCCTTGGGAGGAAGTATTCACACTTAAGCAGAAATGGACCAAACCATGGCGGTAAGCCACCCCCATTGATTCCATTGACCACTATGGCAGGCAACCGGCAACCGGCCGTTCTACCTTTATGCTTCAGGTGAATTTGCCGGGTCATCGAGCGGTAACTGGAATCATTGGCACAGTTGTGTAAACATCCAAGAAGTACGGCCAAGGCAATGCATCTGCCAACGACCTGACTTGAAGAGACCCGTTGTTCACCAGCAACATCAACTCATGTGAGGCATAGACAAAACTCTGTCTGAATCTGTGGGACATGGTCATGGCTCCCATCCCAGCGGAGCTTTGGAAATCCAAATGAAGCCCGGAAACCCTTTCACGTCGGATGGGGCTTCACCAGAAGCAAAGCTACTGTATTGGAGGTTGGGCTCCTTACAGTGTATTGAGCACTTGACTTCCCGCGGCATCTCTTGTGTCGCCTTCTTTCGGATAGGCACCCTTTTGTCAGGTCCCTCGCTTCATTCCGTGGGAGTGTCTCAGCAGCCGGGCAGCCTCAAAGGGGCCAAAGATGTGGGCGTCAGTGGGGATGGAGTCACCTTTCCTCAGACCAGTTTCAACGAGAGGCCTCGCCAGTTGCCAGTCGATCAAATAGAGACTCCTCCAAAAGACAGGTGGCCCGCTTCAAACCAGTCACAAAAGTCTCACAGGGGTCTCTGCGATCGACAGCCTCTGAGTTCCCTTCACAAGCTGCTTGTGGAAAACGACATTCCCCCCCCCCCCGCCCCGCATGAAATGTATGTGATGTATGCAATGTATGGTATGTATGGTATGCATGGTATGTATGGTATATATGATATGTATAGTATGTTATGGTATGTTATGGTTATGCTGATATGCATTCTATGATATGTTATGTTGTGTTGTGCTATGGCATGTCATGTCGTGCTGTGCTATGTAATCGAATGATATGTACGCAGTGCAATGTAATGCAATGCAATGTAATGTACTGCAATGTAACCCAATGTATGCAATGTATGTATGGTACGCACGACATGCATGATATGTAGGATATGTAGGATATGTATGGTATGTATGATATGTATGGTGTGTTATGGTAGGTTCTGGTATGGTATGGTATGGTATGGAATCGTATGGTATGTATGTTTATGCTATGGAATGGTATGGTCTATGTTATGTCATGTCATGCTATGTTATGTAGTCGAATGTTATGTATGTAATGCAACATATTGCAACGCAATGTAATGTACTGTTATGTGACGCAATGTATGTAATGTATGTAATGTATGTATGGTATGCATGGTATGTATGGTATGTATGGTATGTATGGTATGTATGGCATGTATGGTATGTATGGTATGTATGGTATGTATGGTATGGTATGGAATGGAATGGTATGGTATGTATGTGTGTATATGCTATGGTATGTTATGGTGTGTTGTGCTGTGGTATGTCATGTCATGCTATGCTATGTAATCTAATGCTATGTATGTAATGCAATGTAATGAAATGCAATGCAGTGTACTGTCATGTAACGTAATGCATGTAATGTAGGTAAGGTATGTATGGTATGTATGGTATGTTATGGTATGTGCTGGTATGGTATGGTATGGAATTGTATGGAATCGTCTGGTATGTATGTTTATTTGGGTGCTATGGTATGTTATATTATGTTATGCTATGTTATGTCATGGCATGCGATGGTATGTAATCTAATGCTATGTATGTAATGCAATGTAATGTGGTATGATGTGATGTGATGCGATGCAATGTAAGGTAGCGTAGCGTAGTGTAGTGTAGTTACAGTTAATGTGATGTAATGTACGTATGAAATACGTACAAATGTCTCGGTCCAGGCCCCCGACTACCCATTGTTCGTCCCGCTGATAGGGGGTCTTCTCCAGGTTGTCACCCAACCAACCTTGCCTTGCTGTCACGCAGTTGTCCCGGGTCAAAAAGTACACTCTGAGCAAAACAAAAAACTCGGGTAAAGCCGCGATAAAACATGGTTGAACCATTCCAACAGCTCGTTTCCCATTCGTGTCCAACCCCAACAAGTATCAAAAAGACACATCCTTGTCAAACAAGCCACCTCAGCCAAACGAAAAGGTGCCGCAGCTGAACGGGAAGAGAAGTTCATTTTGGGCAAAGCCTCTGCACCATCTCATGGTTGTAGGACTCGGTTCCAGCGACCGTGGAACAGCCCACATCTCCGAGCCTTAGTATCTGAGTTGGCGCCTAGCGTCATCTGAGCAATCGTCAAAAATCATGGTAAGGGTCATCCTCTACCGCTTCCCTTACTTGACGTAGTTGTCTCGTGTCTTGACATCGCTGAGCCGGCTAATTTACTTGTTGCGTCGGCGGCCTGCTTGTTGTTGTCGGTTTGTTTGTCCTGGACACAAACAAAAATGTGAAAGTGAGAAAAAATAACAATAGCTCCTTGAACGCGAGTCCCTATATGTGTGCCTAACGTATAGGGTTTTGCCATCTTCCACTAGTCCCTGGCCCAGGCTGGAAAATTAGGGGATCCCCTACTGTATATGTCTGAAACGCCATACCAACATCGACCTCCAGAAATAGTGGCAATTGCTCATGCTATATAGACAAACAACAACAAACTGGGGGAGCATAACAGAAATGGAGCTGACTCACCGGCCATATCATGCTGCGAATCTCACTCCCCACATAACCTGTGGCAGACTGAGTGGAACTTGTGGACTTGGGGATCCAGGCCACTCTGGGTTCATCGGAAGGCCGGGGCATTCCCACAAAAAAACACGCAACGGAGGATCACCTCAGATTTATCCGGAGAGGTGGCATTTCACCTCGGTGTTTCATCGGGGGTTTGGAAAAACATCAAACATCATCCATCCCCTGCTGCCTTCCTGTAAGTATTTTGCTTAGCACGATCCCACAACGTCTGCCGCGCGGCAAGGGCGCGGCACAGGGCGGGCTGCTGCAGCTGGGGTTGTTGCACCCACTGGAAGTGCCGCCATCGGTAGGACCGCCATCGGTAGGACCGCCGGTCGGGGGGCCCTGAGCAAGCAAGCAAGCGAACAAACAAACAAACACACAAACAAACAACAAGCCTCACACAACCACCAACAACCCACCCAAAAACCACAACCAAAAACCGACCCACAAACAAACGGCAAGACTCACATCACCACCAACGCATCCAACAACCAAGAAACCCACACGGCCCACCCTCGACCGGGCGCAGCCATCCGGGCGCTTCGCTTGGGCCCGGGCGCAGCCGTCCGGGGGCGGGCCGATGCCCGGGCCCCAGGTGGTGCCCTCCCCCGAGCAGTCCTGGGCCCGCACGGCCTGGCGGAACATCGGAACATCGGCGTCCCAGGTTGGCGCGAGAGGTATGACCGAGACCGGGTGACCCGGTGGGAATGAACCCAGTCACCTTGAAGGAAACAACCAGCTGGATGGCTTTTCTAGAGGTCATTCCGAGCTGCAGCTGGTTGTCAAGGGCCACCCCAATCAGGGCCCCCCAATCCCAATAGGACCGAAAAATAGTGACGATTGGTTAATCCCTGTGCTTCTTTTTTGCTGTATGTTTCCCATTTATGTCGCTATATGTCGCTTCTCTATTTGGCTCAGGTTCTGTTTGTTGGCTGTCTGTCCCCCATTTTGGCTTTGGGTTCTTCTCCTGTTGGTTTCGGTGCTTTTTGGGCTACCCCCGGTTTCTGGTTTTTGGTTGGCTGCAGAATGCACCGTGGCTAAAAGAAAAGCCCCATGAAAAGATCAAAGAGCGCAAAACTAAAAGAGAAGCACCCTGTGTGTGGTCGACTTCGCGCATGTTTGAAAGACGGGGATCTAAAAAGTTGGATGTTTTTGGGCTATTCCATGCTATAGGAGCATCCGTCTTTTCACAAAAAGGCTCGAGCAAATCGGGGGGGGGGGAGCTAGTGAGGTTTAAAAAGAACGATACCAGTAATATGTATCATTACGGCATACAAAGACATTGGCTGTGCAGGCATCCCTAATGAAGAAAAAGAGCTTGTGCTATCAGAATTCAGCACTTCTCCCAGCAAGGCTAACAATCAAGTGACATTCTTATGGGAAGGAGGTATTGAGAGGTATTCACACGTATCAGAGTTCACGTACTCCTAGATGTAAGCGCCCCGTTGTTCTAATTAATGTTGCTTTGGGAAATGGTGCTGGTGAAGGATGGAGCCGACTAAGACTGCTAAGCCCGAGCCTGTGCATGAGGCAAAATGACGAAGGTTTCCCGAAGGAAGGCATGGGAAAACTGGATGGACCCCTGGTTCTTGCGGGAATTTGTGTGTGTGTGCCCTTGTCCTCCCCACGCTAAGAAAAAACTACCACTACTTTGATCGTGCTTTTTGTTCCCGGCGCGCCTTGAGCAGGAGAAGGGCAAGCAGCTTCTTCGCCATGGGTTCAAAGGAAGAGGTGGGCAAAAACTTGCGGGCGAAGAGCTGCAGAGCTACAAGGGCTGCGAAAGGAAGGCCAACAGGTGGTAAGGCGCATTCGGTGGTTTCCCTAACTACGTATTGCAAAACCCGCACTTAGTTTGAACCAACCGAAAAAAAGAAGAAAACAAAAGCGTAGCAAATGACTGGATTGGTGCCTACTGTGGCGCATCCTCTGTAGATCGGGTCTCTGTGCTGCTTCCTCTTGTTATGAGTTATTTCGTCTCCCTAAGGCTATGGATCTATTGGAAACACAAAGCTATGGGCCTGCCTAGCCGAGGACTGTTGGGTACATCCAAAGCCACTCTCCGGTTGCTGAGAAAAGTCACCACAGTTGATTCCAACAAGAACGAGAGAACAAGTTGAACATGCAATTTACAATGCGTTGTTGGCCCTTTTACTTGCAAGGAGTACTGTTCGTTGCGTAGTTTTGACACCTGGACATAGGATGGCTCAGTTGCCATGGGAGCCTCAATAAGTAACACCTCAGCCATGGCTCGTAGATCATGTATCTCTACCACTCACCAACTTTAAATGGAGGAATCTCTCGGATAATGGACCTTGATCAGAGGTTCCGACAATCCCCACATGAGTTCGCCATAATTGCTGCAAATGCGTCCCATCGCACATCAAAAGGGCAACTCAACCAAGTCAACTGAACTGTCAGCGCTTCGCCGAAATCCGCAAAGCTCTGAAAGAGGGCCACTCGCCTTTAGGGCGCGCAATTCACTGCGAGCTCCAACCAAGGCTCAGGGAAGCCAACCATGAACTGGCGCACCTCTGTGGCCCTGTGCCGTGTTGAAGGGACCCTCCGAAAAATGGTGTATTTGGATGTCAACGATGTATCGGATGACCAGTCAGAATAGGCTGCCTTCGAATTTGGGGCTCCGAGTGCCTGCTGGGCTCTTGCACCCAGTGCCAAAACAAACAAATGTTAGCGGACAAAATGCAGATGTTCCCAAAGTTCAGGGTGAAAGGAGCAAGCAGCTAGAAGCCGAGATGCCAGGCCGCTTTTTTGGGGCGCCGGAGCTGCTGTCTCTGTGGAGAGAGGTCTGTGGCAAGATATGCCTCGCGCGGCTTGCGCCGCACGCCGCACGCCTTCACGCAGAAACTCGCAACCCGACCCCGGAGCGAGCCGAGTGAATCATACAATAACAATGCACCACTAAAGCGCGAGGTAGAGTTTGCAGGGGCTAGAGTTGTTGAACAACCCTTGCGTCCAACAATTTTAACAATGGCATGAGTTCAGATTATTCACCTGAAAGGGATCCTGAAGAAAGAAACCTTGATGGCTGAGGTCAAACTTGGTCGCTATGACTTGCCCAGATTGACTGACTTCTACGAGCGAGCTTCCGGAAACTCGATACGTACTCACATGTACGGTCAGAAAGCCCCTCCAAAAGGTCAGTGATCTTCCAGTGTTGCACACAGACTCCACATGGATTGAATTGAAAGGATGCCTGTCAGAATCCCAAGAGGTTGACGGTGCGTGCGTGAGTTCTAGGAGCTGCTTCCCCAGGCGTCCCCAGTGGCGCGGCGCCTGAGCTCCCTCACCTGTCTCCTCCGAAAATCCTTGGGAACTCAAAGCTTCAACCAGTTTGGACCTCTACAAAAAAAGTGCCCCAAGTTCCCCCAGTTCCCCCCAAACAAGTGCCAACACTTCGGCTTCGGAGGAGCAAGTCTAAAGGCTTCGGCGATTCCGCGCGCTTCCGGCAGGTCCCACCGGACCACTGCCACCCAAATGAGGGGTCCAAACTGCGAAGCAACCTCAACAAAGCGGTCCCCGAAAAGAAGCTTCCTCCGAGAATGATGTTTTCTTGGTGGTCCGTGCTAATCTGCAGGCGTCAAACCCGTTGAGAAGTCATGTCACTGGGCCGCAACTGGCTCTTGTTTCTGTGGCTCCAAATTGTAACCTTGAGTCTGCCCACAACTCGAAGGCACAGGCCAGATCCGTGACAGTCACGCAAAAGGCCATCGAGCTACGCGGAAGCGAAGCGATCTGACCTGAGATTTGCCATGAGAAAAATGCAAAAACCTCCTTGGGGATGAAGACTGATTGGCAGTTGCCCTCTGTTTCAACCTGATGGGTGCAGTGAGTGGAACAAGTTAAGCTCTGAGTCTAAGTGTTCCCCTTGTACAAAAAGGAACCATTCTCAGGGCACGTCACCTCCACATTACTGCTAAAGCAACTGATTCCGGCTCCAGCCAGTTCATGTATGGGCGTGTCTAAAAACAAACCCAGCCAATGGTTGGTCTCCTGGGGGTCCTTCTTTTTTGGACACTCCCGTGGCTTCACGCTGGCTCCCTGTGCAAGACCAAACTCGAGCTCCGAAGTCAACCAGCTCATCTCCATCGCTTCGCTTCCTCCCGGCCACAGGCACCGAGCCAGTCACTGACCAGCCTCGCAGGCAACGTGCTCCCGCCGACTGAACTGGAAATCATAAGGGCCCCCTGTACATGAGGCCTCCACTTACTCAAGGAAGAAAAAGAACACATGAGATCATACAACAAGCGCCCCTTTATCGTACAACAAGCGCCCCTTTCACTGCCGGCGTGACCAGAAACAACGCAAGTGGGTTTTTCAGCCTGCGCGTGTCGCGCATAGACCTGGGATCTTTGATTGTGATTGGCAGGCTCTGCACGTTGGAGTTGTGGAGGCATCTTTTATTGGTGAACCTCTGTTGGTGTTAAACAGAAGCGAACGCAAATTAAGTATTCTTGGGACCCCAAAAAAATGAGACAATGCCAATTTGGGGGAAAGGTGTGAGGAGGGGACTTGCATTCACAGAAACCCCCGCATCCAAAACTCTTGTCTGTCATTTGAATGGAGCTCTATAGCCCGGTTTCGGCCAGTCAAGAGGGGATGCAAATCTTCGCAAAGCATCTTGGCGACCGAAAGTCAGTAGGTGTTGGGCACATCGGAAACCCACATGATGCAAGCATGCTAGTCATGACGTCGTTTCACACAAGAAACGGTCATGGAAGAATGGCACACATGTTGCACATGCCGCGCTGGCAGAAGGGCTGTGAAATGGCAGCCTGCCAAGGGAACAACGAGGAACTGGGCACCTTGGCATATGTGTCACCATAGGGATTTGGACTCCACGGGTGGTGTCCCTTTGGTGTCGTGTTAATCCAACACCTAAACAGGGTACCAACGCCAAAACACGAGCCACGCCCACCTCCACCGATTTTTATAGATTTAAGAATGGGTTCTATAAAGACCTCCTGCGAACCTATTCGGAAAGTTGGATTTAGAGTCGCAGAAAAAATGGGCTCCCAGAAACATATATCCAACAATCACAAGGCTGTTTCTCCCAATCAGCTGAGACAAGTGCTTTTTAATATAGCCAATGTATACATTGTACAATATACACATGCATATCTCATATATCCATACATAGGTACTGTACATGTCAAGACTGGGGAAACCCTATCTGGGTCCTCCAGTAGAGAGGTTAGAATACGGGTACCCTTTTTTCTGTAGTCTATTTTTGTAGGGGAAGCCTCCCCAAAAAAAGGGCAAAAGGGCACTGGGGGGACCTATGAATTGTAATGTCCTTCTGGTTTCCCCTAATACCAAGCTGAAAAGGGCACCCTCCAAACCGCGCATGCCCTGCCAAGCGGGACCTTCACGGCGAGCAGGCCCTTCAGGTGCTCGCGCCTCGGATCGGCATCGGAGAAGCGACCATCGGAACCCATGAGTGTGGCTCTTAAAATGGGGAAACCCCAACAAAGCTCCCCCCCCAAAAAAATGGGGGGGGGGGGGGGGAAAAGACAAGTGGTAGCTTGTAGCGTTCGTTTTGGTGTCCCTTTAAACCAACCCACAAAAAGGGGTGCCCTCAAAAAGAAGGCGCCCAGATCTTTATTTTGTTTGAGGGTACCCGTTTCACCTTGCTTGAAAGGGAAATCACGCGGCAAACCAGGACTTGGTGGCTCCCCTATTTCTGACACATACCCAATCTTGTCTAACCCTTTGGAAGGATCCCAGGCTATGAGCCAAACCTCGAACCTGAGGTTCCCCATTCAAAGGACCAAGAAGGTAAAAAGCTGAAAAGCTAAGGGGATGGCCGGGAACCAAGATGGCCGGATAAGCGAAGCGCGAAGACCGATCCCCTCTGGGTGCCGGGCGTGGGAGGGAAGCTCCAGATCTTCTTGAGGTCCGGCACCGCGGACTGGCGGGGGCCGGGGGTGGTGGGGGTGGAGGGTGGATGGAGTTTGGTTGGGGGGGGGGAGGGTGGTTGGGGTGGGGTTGTCTAAGCAAAACAAAGAAAGCACCAAACCCGAAAAAATGCCGGGGGAGTGCAGAGCTCGCTTTTGTGTTCCTGGGGGATGCCATGGGAGGGAAATGAAAAGCCCGGCTAGAACAGGCAAAGCTTTTGAAGGTTGAAGGGAGTGGGTCAAGACGGAAAAAATAGAGAACCTTCGTGGGAATGATCTCACAAAGGAAGCTCTGGATTATTGAAAATACCCGCAGTTCATAGAAAGAAGGTGTCCCATTTAAGGGTGAATCCTTCAATTTCGGGGGTTTGTCTGCCAGGTTAATTTACCCGGGCTCGCACCTTCTTCCTGCCGAGTACCATGAACCCAAGGATCCATTGTTTAGAAGAATCTCCTCTCGTGGATCCCCCCCCTTCGGGTTCCATATCAATTTGCAGGGGAGTACAATCTGCAGGAACCAGTTTCCACTTCAATCTTGGGAAACCCTGTATGTGTTCCTGTATGAACTCATACTGCAGGACACTTTTCAATCTGCTATGGGGTTCCATGTTGACAAGTAGGGCGGGGATGGTGTCACCCCTTGGTCTTGTCTGTTCGTTAAAAAGTATCGCATCACTCAATGACTTCCTGATGTCCAAAAATTGTACCAAAGCAATCATGAGGTCTTTCTCGAGATACAAATGCACTCTTGGAAGACAACTGCTCAAGTTGCGAACCCTCATTACAACCTTGTGCCCTAGGCGGCGGGCCATGGCAGCGTTGCAAGGTCGTTGGCCAGAAAATGGAAGATCGCAATAAAACTAGGAAGGCTCTGCCCAATTGGCGCATTTCCCTGTGAAACCAAGTGAAACTGACTTTGACAGATTTCCAATGCCCGCAATGGGGAAAGGCTTGATGCCATGGCGAGCCAATGCCCAGGATTTTTAACCCTGGCTGATTTTGATTGGGCCTTGGGGGTGGCCCATTTGCCGCAACACACCCCAGTTTCTCCTCCAGGTTGCTGTTGCACACCAGCTCTTCCCATTCCCATCCCCTTCCCAGCCTGCGCAAACTGCATCAAGCCCGAGTTGGTGTCATGCGTCGCAGTCCTCGGCTCGAAGCACCCGGCCCCTATGCGTCACTCCAAGCGAAAAAACGGACAGCGGCTTCTTATCAACCCCCTCAAGGCCCGGGCTTTATGCGAAGTTGCGGTGGCACCCGTGTCCGCCCCAAACTAAGAGCAGACCAACAACCAGTAATTTGGGCAAAGCCTGCCAACACTGGCTGAGCGTCGTCAGCATCTGCCGGAGCACCGCAGACGCCTGAGGAAGAGTGCAGGGGAAAAACTTGCGCTTGTCCAAGATCAAATCTCGTCGACCTCTGCCCGATTCCTAAATGAATGGAGTAAATTCAGAATGTTGTTGCCTGCCCTGTAGTATCATCATATTTTGCGGCTAGCTTACACGTGGGTGCGGATTTATTTGGGGATGTTTTTGCGTTTGCTTGTTTTATTTCAGTTTCCCCCGTTTTTCGTCTTGGCCAGCAAAATGTCATATGTTAAAGCATATGTCGTTTACGTCAACATCCCCAGCATTGTTTTCAACTTCCCCCGCACGTCCCGCCAACATCCCCAGCATCACCAGCATCACCAGCAAAGTGTGGGTAAAATAATCTAAAAAGTAGGTGTACGAACCACCTATGCCACTGAAGGACGAGTTGAGCAACGAAGAAGCACCCGGCAAGGTGTCAGTCAACAGAAGGGATTCCGGTTTTGGTGGATTCCCGCGGAGATCAGCATGAACAAAAAATTAGACGGATGCACCACCTGCGGTACCGGGCAGGTGGGCGCGGTCAAAAAAATGATGATTCAAATGGGGGTGCAATTCAATCCCTTCCCTGTAAAGAATCTAAAAAGTAGTGGGGGAGGGGGGGGGACATGGGGGGGGCTGCCCCCCGCCCGTAATTCAAATACGGGTGCAATTCTGCGTCTGCAAAACATCTAAAAAGTAAGATGTTCGAAGAAGTGATGATTAGAATAGAGAATCTCTCTAAAAAAAAAGAGTAGCGGGGGGATTGAGGGGCCCCCCACGGGGTGCAATGATTCAAGAAAGGGTACGATTGAATTTCAAAAGCAGCAGGGGGGCTGGGGGGAGCGGCAGCCCCTATGATGTTCGAAGTGCACACATACATACAGACATACATAGATTGCATCGATTGCATACATGGATGCAGACCAAAAACAAAATATAAAGAACACCTGCGGGAGAGGAACTGTGATGCTGAGGATGCGGGAGGCCAAAAACCAATGAAAGGGTTCAAAAGCAAAAAGCTGCCGGAGAGGAACTGGGAAAGCAAAGGATGCAAACAGCCAAAGCCACCAAAAGCCGCATAAACCAACAAGAAGCCGAAAAGCCAAGAAGCCAAAAAGCCAAGAAAACAAAAAGCCAAGCCAAAAAGCCAAGAAGCCAAAAAGCCAAGAAGCCAAAAAGCCAAGAAGCCCACAAGCCAAGAAGCCAAAAGCGAAAAGAAGGACAAATCCTTTTAAAAAATACCCCTCAAATTACGATGTACATTGATATATTGCAGCGGCAGGGTAACATCTACATTGTAGTAGTTGCTTGGTTCGCTTTTCATCACAAGAAAAGAGAGTAAAATGCATCCGATTTCTGCTACGGCAACCTAAGCTGGGAAGGATATGTTGTCTCATTCTTCCACCACTCGCATTCGCCCACCGGCCCTTTGCATTTGCATCGGAGCCGGAGGTAGGGGTGCTGTACCGTTTGGAGGTAGGACGCTCGTACGCCCTGAAACCATGGTGGCCAATGTGTGGTGCCCACTGGCCAGAAACAAAACGCCGCTTCAAAGCGAAAGGAAGGCATGGACATCATATCGGGGGTTGAAATAGGAGACCCCAAAAAAATAGGAAGGTTTTCCCTTGGCTGCTATTTCTCGGCGATTTCTGAATTTGCCTTGCCAGAAACCGTGAAGGATGCAGAATTTCACTTCAGAACCCCCGATAGAGGGAGGCTGCATCAACCCCAGTAAAACTAGAGCTTTTTGGAACCCCTTTTCAGCAGTCCAGGATCCAATACGCTCTGGCATCCCCAACAGCAACCGGGACTCGGAACCCGGAAACTGGAGCCCCTTCTGCCCGGCTTGGGCAGAGACCGCCAAAAGCTTTCAGCTGTTGGGGAAAGGCGAAAGTTTGGATGGTCCTTTTGCCAATGCCTTGGGCACAGGTGTGGCAGAAGAGGAAACCGGGATGCCTGGCGGTTCCATAATATATGTTACCGATGTTTGTGTGAGAAACACCCATACCGCGGATGAACAAATCCTCCCACGAGCTGGGAGGGATGAAACCTGACTTGAATACTTGGACAACCACCTGGCGTGTTTTGTTGTTTTACAACCTTCCACATGTCAGCAAACAGGACCAAGAAACAGAGTCACTCGGCCAATTCCAAGGGCCCTGGCCTGCCGCACGGAAGCCTCCTGCGAGTGGTCTCGTGCCGTGGCAGGGGTTGATTTATGTTTCCATTGTCAACCATCGTTCTGTGAAACACCAGGAAGATGAGTGTTGGGATGTGCTCTGAGTGCTCTGGAAAGAACAGGGAAGCTCCAAACCTTCTGTGCACATGGGCGAAGCTCTCTACCGATGACCCCTTGAAATGGGCGGATTCGTTTTGAGAGACGCTTAAAACACAATCCAAAAGCACATCCCTGATTCTGGCACATCCCAAAGCTGCATCATCATGGCTCCCTGATGGGAGGGACATCGTGCAGTGCTGCAACATACATCAAAGCTGACTAAGCCCATCAACCTTGAGTCAACAACGCCTTGAAGCCGTACAAGTAGCACGGGGGGTGGCTAGCGACTGTTGACAACTGGGGGACATCAAGGACCGAGCGTCGTGACCTTCCCTTCGCTCCCCTTGCCCTGGCTCTGAATCGCCGCATTCCGTGAGGCTGCCCACCTCCGACTGGTCGCTCTCGCGGCTGAGCTGCTCTTCTAGCCCGGCCATGGCGCGCCAGGCCTGGCCAAGCGACTTTCAAAGCGAAGCGGTGAAGCAACTGGAAGGCAGGGGTGGGGTGGGGCTGGGGGTCGGGTTTGGGGGTGGGGTTTGGGGGTTGGGATTTGGGGTGGCTGGGGTTTACCAGGTGAAGCAACCGTTCTAAATGAAGCAACTCGAAGGTGGGCTTAGGCTGGGGTTTGCCACCCAGGTGAAGCAACCATAGTCTTGGGTGGGTTTCTGCTGGGGGTTGGGGTGGGTTTTAGGGTGTTGGCTGCGTTGGTCTGGTGCCCCAGCGAAAAAGGAAAACTAGCTGCCATCACCTTCCTTTTCTCATGTCTGTCTAGAATTGGGAAACAAGCACGAGCATGTTGAAACAATGGTGGTTTACACCATGCTTCAAAACAGGATCACTCAACCGCTCCCCACACTTTGCGATCTAGCGAAGGCTTTTGTTCGGGGGCCGAAACGGCCGAACTTGTTCAACGCCAGCTGCAAAGGGGCCCTTTTAGGGAAACACCTATTCACCTGTTCTACCATGTTTGCAGTAAGCAATTGTCCAACACCTGATATGTCAGCAAAAGCTTTCAACATGAAGAGAACCAAAAGAAACTAAACTAAAGAACATATCAAGAAAAGTGAGGCAATGGCAAGGGATGCAAGGAAAAAAATGCTTTTTTTGTCCTTGGCGGTTGGGTAATAAAGATAAGTATCTCCGCTAGTTTGCTTCGACAAAAGAATCTAACATGTGCTCGCCACTATGCACCTTCTGCAAACAGACCTCAACTGGGCATTCGCACTTAGATGTAGATCAGTGTTGAACCAAACTACCTTGAACTTCACAGATGCCCAATGACTCCACTTCTGCCAGCCACACTTTGAAGGCAATGAGTGATTGGGAATTATTTTGAGAAGCGGCCAAGAGGACATCAACCATCCAGCGGATCCCTAACTTTGACGCACAGGGTTATGTTCGAACGATGGAAGCAATGCAACGGGCATTGTTGTCAGGGGACACTCTGGCTTGCAGAGCGGGGAGTAGTGCCAGTGCTTATGCTGGCGTATGTCCCCTGACCGCAGCTCGTGGTTGGTCTCGTCATGAAGTTTGGGGTTGTGCCCTCCACACGGAAGTTTCCTTCCAGCTGTTGTGGACGCCATTTACGTGCTATGTAACATACTATATACGGGATACATGTTAGAGCGCTTAAGGGCGCATTGCCACAGCACATAATATTGAACCTGTCGAATCGACAGGTCGATAATCTCGCAGGGCTGGCAGAGCATTTGTTTGAGTTGGGCTATGGCAAACAGCTCGCACGATTGTCAACTATTTCAAGGCTACAGAAAGCAAGGGTCAGACCCCGAACATGAGAAACATGCTTGCAACGGGCCCACCTAAATCTGGCGCGTTTGCAGTGAATGAGCGGCTCTTGTCTGATCAAGCCGTGTAGCTGGAAAAAGTGTTCGCTTGGCTCGTTCATCCTTTGCCATTCTTTTCAAGGAGCATTGCCCTGGCCAAAAGTGGGCGATTTGATACTACCAAAACCAACGAACACTTGGCTCAACGACTCACAGCAAGCGCCTCTGCAGGGGAGGCAGCATCTTCGCCTGGAAAAACAGGCTTTCAAAGGGGGCAATTAGGTGAGTGTGTGTCTGTGTGTGTGTGTGTTTTAAAATGGGGTGACCCCAAAACTGGTGGTTTCTCCTTGAGCCAAGGTTGTCGGCAAATGATTGTCCAATTCTTTTGGGAGTGCTTGCCGCATGGGGAAACAGCCATTTTCTTCAATCAAAGAGCAAGCGAGATGGTTGCAACATGAGCCGTCGCGCTTTTCTCGAAAACCGCAGTTCCAGACCTCTTAAGGCCGCGAACGGATGTTCAAGGTGTTGATGCGGCCGCTCTCCCCAGCCCGCGGCATCCGACTTGCCTTCAGCCGACGCGCCAGCCCCGCCTGACGAGCGAGGTCGGGGTCTGTGGGGTGTGAAGGGACGGAACCAGTCGACCCTCCCACCAATGGCGCACGCCAAGGAACGGTCTTCCGTAAAGGGTGGAAAGAAAACTTCCAGTTGGAGGATAGCCCTGTTGGTTTGTAGGTTGGAAACTAACACAGACAACTGGCTTGTCAAGCTGGCCTCTTCAGAAAAACAAAAATGCTTAAAAAACAGAAGACCTTTCCCTCTTTGGCGCTTGGTAGGGAACAGCTGCTTTGCAGGTTGACACTTGGGTTCAAAGAGCTAAGCTTCGGGGAGGATCAGCATCCCATCACGGATATGCTTTGGCGTGATTTCACACACCTGGCAATTGAGTGTTTGAAGCAAAACCAACAGAAAGCGACCACTTTTGGGGGTCCCATGGCTCCCCCATGTTTGGAACCGCAAAATTGGTGTCCAAAAGCGGCCCACACAAAAGCGAGCCACGCGACAGGATATTCGTCGGAAACAAATGGCTTCGTGGGTTCCCTGTCGACAGGAACGCCTGATGGCTCTATCATGCAAATCCGTTGCATGGTGGCATGCAAGGATCGTGTCAAAACTCGGACCTTTTTGGGGTCTGCTTGAAAGAAGGCAACAATCATTTTGAAGAGGTCAATGCCAATCATTGCTCCCAAGCAACTTGAGAATTCACTCAATAAATCACCCCCCCCGATGAGGTGCAAGCAGCTGGCCAGCTGCTTTGCTTTCACGGACATTCTCATTAGGGATTTTGCCCCACACCACGAAGATCTGATCCTCGCTTCTTGAGACTGTTCCACTGTGCAACCAATGGAACAACGACCTCCGGTGTCACAACCAGGACGACCTGTTTGCTCGGCTTTGAAAGGAACAAGTTCCCATCTTTGGCTCAGAAATCCAGCGGATAGCGCAAAACTCCTGATTCTTGCTGGCAATAAACGCCTGGAAGCAAAACAATACTGTAAGTAGATCTATGTTGCCTTGCCCTTCACCCCTCCAAAATGGGCCGAAGGCGCCTACGAGGGCCGAGACGTTGCAGCCGGCGGCGGCGGCCGCCGCCAGCACCTGAAAGTTTCTCGGCGAATGCGTCCCAAAAATGACGAAAAGACATCGGACAGGAAAACAAAAAAAAACGTTCACTCAGAAGATCGGATGTTCAGATTCTGCGGAGCATATATTTTGGGAGACGTTTCCAGATTCTGAGTTGTTCCTTTTGGAATCATGGCAAAAGGGGGGCTTCATGGGTCCCTGATTTGTGGAAAGGCTTGGTCCCGCTGCACTTGGACCCCTGAAGGCGAAATCTTTCCCGGGAAAGGGGCCTATGCACCAAACCATGCTTGTTGATAGGAGGGAATTCAAATTAGCAATTACCCCTCAAGCCCATTCAGATTATGTGTGCCCTTATGGCTTTCCTTAACTTCCAAAATCCAAGGCCATAGGTCAAGACCTATGGGTGGATGCATGGCCCAGTGGTTTGGGGGAAAGTGGCGTACTGCGTTCGGGTTGGCATAGTTTGGACGGGAACGGCTTCGAAGGAAGAGGGAAAACACATAAATTTGCCTCTGACCAACAATTGGTTGATAGCATCAGCGGGTTTTCTCATGGGCAACTTGCTTAAATTGACTCCACACATAGTCAACAAGGATGTGCCAAACAAAAGAGATCTTCCAAATGGATGTTTTAACGTTGGGGGAAGAGGTTCGAGCAGGCTCATTTAAAAAAATGGGATATGTGTCCCTACCCCTTGTGGTTCGTACATCTCCCTTGCTTCTCCCAGGAAAGGCTGGCTGTTGCTCATACTCTCCAAAAGGGGTGTATACTCAACGTGAAGTGGGTCTGCAAGGGAACCAAGGGCTGTGCACAGAACGCCACCTGTTTCTGCATCCCCGCTGGACCGAGGCGCTTCATGGAACCCCCAAAACAGGGCTCCTTGTGTTTGCCTTGTACCCTCAACCCTAAATCTCGCCGAGCAGAAGGTGGTGCTTAAGGCCATAAAAAAAGGGAAAGGTACTGCAAATGGTATTGCAAACATGTCCAAAACCTGAAATAAAGAATGAGCAAGTCAAGAACCTTAAACATGGTGAGCTCGGTTCATCCCGGTGCCATAAAACAGGCCACGGATTGGCTTCCTATGCTTTTTGGCAGGAGTACACTTCCTTCAAAGTAAGCCATCCAACGCAAAGCTGAAAAAATGGTGAAAGACTCTGGGTCACAACAGAACGTGCTGAATTCCATCCGTTGGTCTGCGGCAATCGAATCGGCTAGCCACCACTAAGAACCTAATCGGCTCGATTATTTCCGGGGTTCCCAGCCGCGTCGTTGGTGTCAGCCTGGCACACCGAAGCACAGTGCACGGCTCACAAGCCCCCAGTACACTCCCACCAAACATGGCAGAGCAACCGTGGACCATCGTGGACCTTGTCGGAAGACAAAGCCTTTGCTTTCGGCAACTCATTAGTTGCACCGCAAAAATCGAATCTCACCTCCGAATCAGTGGCTAATCCTTCATCGGTTGCCTTGGAAGAATGACATCCCCACTCGTGTGGGAAACGTTGAAAGCTCCAAGGCTTGGCCACAGAACTCACTTCCCCGTCAAGTGGACCCCCCCTCTGAGTCAATGTGTATGGTGCTTCTTGCAAAAATCTGAAGATAAACATGACGCAACGTGAACACCATTGTGTGTGCTTGCTGATTGCGTTTCTATATTATGTATTTAACATAGGAATGTGTGTTTCATAAATTTGGACTGAGAGCCTTGAGTGTCCTTCCGCAACCACTCCCGACGGCGAAACAAACACCAGAAGCGCTCTGCCCGTTCTCCTCCCCAAACCCTACCCCCTTGTTTGGCCCAATACCGCCCGCCTGGCGTGGCGGCTGCGGTTGGGAGCCTCGGACCAAAACGGGCCAGGTATCAGAGGTGCAACCAGTGGAGCCCTTCGGAACTCGGAGACCAGAGAGGCACCCAACCAACAAAAGGGGATTCAGGCAGCGTGCCACTGAACGGCAGGCAAACCGGGGGATGTCCAGCATTCCGCATCCTTGCTAGGCACCGTAAAAATGGTTCTTCCCGTGGTTCTTTTTTGGGATGGAAGCACCTTGAGCATCAGAGGATTTGGCCAATGGATGATGTCCAACCAATGCAAGGGGCCCAAGCATGCGGAGGTTCTTCGTCCGAAGGTTCTTCGGGCATCTTGGACATATACCTAGCTGTAGTAGAAATGCCGCATGACAACCTATGACTTTCTGCAGCCGCCCAGTCTAGCTGTGTCAAACACATGGGTTGAAAAAACAACCCCGTGGACAACCCTTGTATCCTTATGCCCTAGTATCGGTCAGTATCGGTTTTTTTCCTCTGCATCGGTTTGCAGTGCTTTGGCAGCTCTAGCTCGAAAGTCGTGACTTTTCAGTACAAGTGTAGTTAGAACGCAAAGTACATTTTGGCAGCTCCAGCTGGAAAGTCGCAACTTTTCAGTAGTATGCGCAGTAGACTTTGGCAGCTCCGGCTCGAAAATCGCAGCTTTTCAGTGCAAGTAAGTTTTGTAGTACAAATGTGGTACACAAAGTACATTTTGGCAGCTCCAGGGAAGGCTGCAGGGCAGCTGGTTGGATTCGGCGTGGCGGCCACTGAGTTGGGTATCGGTTGGGTATCGGTTTGGGTATCGGTTTGGGCCCTGCAAATTTATGATTCCGCGATCTTGGCTTGCGACAACAACTTGGACCTGATGTGTGTCTTCATGGCTTCTGGGGGTATCGGTTTTTCTTCCTCTGTATCGGTTTACAATGGTTTTGGCCTGCGAAACAAGTTAAGGGACGGCCCCTTACATAACGAAAAGGCGCGGCGTATTTTTTTCAGCCCACATGCAGCCACGGCATAGCGGCAAACCTCACTTTTCGGTGGTGCACGTTGCATTGGCGAGCCAGCGACTTCGCGCTTGCAGTCGGGTCAATTTCGACCCTGCGACAATGGCGCAACATGATCCGCAGGCCCCACTGCAATGGGGTAGCAGAGATGCGGCGCGGTGTCGCTTCACGCTGAGGTGACGGGAGCTTTGCCCTGCACCCAAGCTCCCCGTGGTCCCACGGTCCCCAGAACACACATGACTCCCAGTTGGACTATACTGATCCCTGCTTGGTGGAAGAGGGTCTCCACACTTCTAGAGAATCCCTCGGTTTGCAACCAAAAGGGTGTCAAAGGGCAACCCCTGGGTCTGAGTAGGTTGAGGGAGACATCCTGTGCTGGTTCAATGCCTCCAGTCGCTAGTCCACCAGGGCCTTGATCTGCCCGGCGAAGTGCACGGAGCACCAGACCAGCCCCAGGCTCACTGTGCTGGAGACCTCTCTCGAAAGCGAACGAGACCCAAAGGTCAGCTGTTGCCCCAAAGCCTCAAAACATCTCTAGGGCGCGTTGCGTCACCGGGTAACAAAGTCGCACCCTACTTGCCCAGTCACCATTGGAGACGCTTTCTTGTTGTTTCATATTAAAGGGAACTCCACTCAAAAAGACAACAAGCGCCTCTGGGCAACCAAGACACCAATCCAACATCAGCAAAAAGAGCAACGCACTATATGCAGTACCAATTGGTCCATTTGTGTAGTTCTCGCCCGCTTCACATCCTCCTTGGTATGCTGTCCGCTCACAGCCTTTCTTCAGGATAGCGGATACCAAGAAATGGTTTCTGACGAAAAATCACGCAGTGGACACCTAAAACATACCTTCCCCAACAAACGTGTCTCTCTCAAAGATTGGAGACGCCAAAACAAAAAGCGTGTTTCCAGGTGGTTTCCCATTCAATTCCCCCCGACTCACAAGTTCTGGGACAAAGTGACCGCTTGAGTGGAGCTGGCTTGGCCTTTTTAAGAAGGAGGTTGTTGAACCTATCCCATCTGGGTGAACCAACATCATTTCCGGTTGGAAACTTCCGGTTTTGTTTTCAAGCAGATCCAAATGGTAGCCACCTGTGTGTGTGTGTGTGTGCGTGTGTTTCGTATCCAAGGCAAACCTTGATTCAAGGCGAATCCCACCCTGGGAAGGTCGCTGCGATTCGCCCAAGCACTCCTAGGTCCGTTTCTCGCTCAAGATTAGCAACCCTGGTTCACCCTGGAACCACCTCTTGCACCTAAAGGGTCACTTGATCTTACCGAACCATCAACAGGTGAAGCAATGCCCCTGGAACAGAACATCCATGGAAACAGACTTGTAGGTGTTCTCCCAGCCGGTCCTACCCAGAGCCCAAAAGGAAGCTGTCTCAACCTGCTCGGACCCCCTGCCAGAAAAGTGTGCAATGCGTTCAAAACGCGGTAGAAACCCAAAAAGAAGCTGGAAGAGCAACAGCCCGAGAAGGACAATTAAAGCTCCCAATTCAATGGACCAGGATTCATGGGCCTAGCATGGACCGAAGAAACGAGCCGTTGCCGGAACAAAAACATGAAGAATGGAGAAGCCGCAATGAGTGCTTCCTTCAAAAGGAAAGTGATCCGAAGGATCGAATTGCATGAATCAAACAAGCTATGCGTAAGAGTTTGGGCTTGTCAGAACCAGCGGGCCCAGAGCAGAATTCGAGTTCGTACAGCGGGGGGCACAAGATTCGTACCGTTTACGAGGCGGGGTCCCTCAAAGGATACTGATGAAGAGTCCCCCTAAAACAGGATGTATCACTTCCTTGGCAAGCCTCAACGCCCTTTGACCTAGTCCAGCTCTAACGCCTGTTCCTTTTGCTGTTGTTGTCGTTGTCGTTGTCTTTGTCGTTGTCTTTGTCGCTGTCGTGGTCGTCGTTAGTGTTGCTGCTGCTGCTCTTGTTGTTGCTGTCTTTGTCACTGTTGTTGGTTGTTGTTGTTGTTGCTGCTGCTGCTGCTGCTT